GAAAGGCTTCCGTTCAACATGAGACAGCCTGTCAAGAAAATGGCAATCTGCACAAACTCTTTCATCTCCAGTGTGACAATCAGACAATGAATGCTTTTTTGTTTTTGTTTTGTTACTATCCGGACTTCTGTGTTTTACACAAACTGTAGAGAAGGACTAACTGATTGGTCAAAAAGAGTGCAAACAACCCACCTTGTGCTTCTGCTTTTTAAAAATATGTGCAAAAAGCAGCAGTTCTATATATTGGTGCAAAAGTGACTTCCGCGAATGTACGGATCAGTTCTTGTGGTCAAGATTATGTTGTGCATTTGCAACCATGTGTGAATATTTCTGTCCTTATATTAGGAATGAAAAACCTTGTTAGTCTCATTTTGGGGGGACATCAACATGAGAGAAGATCAACTTCTCCCACTTGTGAGATGACTGGTGATTCCCCCCCCCCCGGTTTTCCTGCAAATGGAGTTATAGAGTTTTGGGCTATAATTCCCAGATTTCCCTTGCCAGTATAACCAGCAGGACTGGATGGGGGCAATGGTAAAGACATCCACTTAGAACTTAGGACATCATACTTCTGAGTAGACAACACTGGATTACATGAATTAACAGCATCATCTGATATAGGAGCAGCCTTGTACTTAAAGTTTTGCAGCTCCCAAATGAAGATTTCCCCCCCCCCCATGTTTCCAAGTATTTTAGGAAGTGATTTAGTGCTTTTAAATATTTCCCGTATTTATTCCTTTTGGCTGCATTTGGTATTGCATTGTTTCATTGCTGCTGGTGTTTTTCTCTTTTGGTGTCTTATTGTCATTAAGGTGGATGCAGGCCAATTTGTGACCACTTAGTCAGGGCTAGCTCAAGTCCCTCTGATTTTAAGAGAACTACTTCAAGCATAACTAGATTTGGATCTACTCTTCAGCCGGTATCCTGTCCAACATTTACACGCATATGGTGCTTCAAATAGAGAAGCCTTTGCAATGAAAGGCTGGTTGTATGCAGTCAAGCCCACAACCAGCTCCTCAAAAGACTTCTGGGGCAGTGGCTGCAGTTTGAGTCCTGCATGTATACTGTAACTATTAAGCATGATATTGAATGTAGTGGCTGCAGTTTGAGTCCTGCATGTATAACTATTGAACATGATATTGGATGCAGAGTTGTCTTCTTTCACCAACATTTATTCTGATGAAGTGCTGTCAAACAAGAGAGTAAAGGAGTTGAAATTAAAAGAAATGAGGGTGCACAAAGGAAAAGTGAAAAGGCAAGGATGTAACTTCTCAACAGCTGAACAAGCTCAGGATCAACTAATCTGCTCCAACTGTCTGTATCTTCCAGGCTCATACTGAGCCTTTAGTCATCTGCATGTCCATCAAAGTGCTATTGCTGAAACTTAAATACCCACTTTTTTCCCCACCCCTAAATGGTGAATTTGATGGAGATGGTTATCTTTGAAAACCATGATAAAACTATTCATCATCCTCATCCTTGTGTATTTTATGTTTTTAACTGAGTGATGTCCAAAAACTGTGCCTACTGGACAGTCAGATCAAGTCACAAATCTGTTTTAACCTGACAAACAGGTAAGAGAGAACGGAAGTTTCTGTCATTATAAAAAGTATGCCATTTTCTTCCTTCATGCCCTTGACTTTATGTGCCCAGAGAGAGGTGTTTAAAACAAAAAACAAAAAAAACACACACACACACACACCCTGATTGACATGCTAATTAAAGGAAGCTACCAGAAAGGTTTGGAATACATTTACAGGAGGACAAAGCCATGCAACTGAATTAATTGGAAAATGTTTAGAAAGATTGAGTTACCTTCTTTTCAAGGGTGGAAGACCTTGCAGGATTATTCCCTAAGCCATGACTTAACATGCTTTATGCATTCATTGTGCATCACTTGTTAACGATGTGATTCTTTTTTAAAAAAAACACTGTGACAGTAATCCATTGTAATGTCTAATACCTGACACATACCTTTGAAAAAATCATTGTGAATTTTCCATACACACCTCTATCCTCATACACATCTCATAGGAGGGATTAGCTGCATGCTTTCTGATAACCTGAGAGAAAATAAGAAGCAGATCTAAGCAACACACTATGAACTCAGCACTGGTATTCTCAGGATAATTGGAATCTTGTTAGGGACTTAAAAGACTGAGACAGTACCTTTTCAGCATCTGGTTTGTCATATGTGCACTCCAATGCTTTTCTCCGTTTTCCACATTCTTCTAAAGAGTACAGGGCATGTTTACCCCAATCTGTATACCCTGTATTATGTATAGAGCAAGAGGCATCTCTCCCCCAGTTTTTGAAAAAATACAATTAATTTTGTTTCTGGTAGTGGAATTCCATTCAAAGGGAGTGCAGGCCAGAAACTCTTAATTATGGCTTCTGTCCATGTAGGTACATTTCATGGAGACCATTTGCTACTACTCTCCAATAAGGGAAAACAAGAAGTACTCTATTTACCAAAAGGAGGAGAAATTAAAGCTTGGATTAACAATTCATATTTATCAGTAAACAGTTACTTAGAAAAAAACCTGGAGTGACAAGACACCAGTGCTACCTGGCTCTTATCTATCGAGGTCTCCCTTAGGTTACTTGTGACATAGGTTAATGCTTCAACTTCCAACCAAGTGTGCATTTATTTTGAAATGGAAGAAAAATTGAACTATTTATGGTCACTTTGCAACCCAGTAGCCAGATATTTTGCATGGAGCTGGTCACTGTGACAGTCATCCAATTTGAAGTTGGTTTACATTTGCACTCTAGATATGCCTCTATTCATTACCTTTTTCTTTCACTATGTAACTCTGCAATTTTCTTACACAATATACCTAAAATACTGTTTCACTGCTTAAGTTATTCTGTTTGTTACCATCACTCTCAAGTAACAGTATTGATCTAGCCTTTGGGCTGTGTTTTGTTCCTTTCCTTCAACTAAAAAGATACAGTATCTAAAATATAAGGGTACAGGAAACTAGGGGGAAAAAAGAAAGAAAAAGTTAGAGAATGTTTTATCTATAGCAGTAACCCGAAAATCAATTTGAATCTTTTCCCACAGAGTTTTCCATGATGTATGTATAACTGAAACACCCATTTTACAGGTCAGAGTTTGGCAGGTAATGATTTATGGCTTTTCAAAAAAAAATAAAATCCACCATAATTGTTTTAAAAAATTCCTTTATGGATATACTCCATTGTTATGGAAGAGTTTTGGAGCACAGCACACAAGAGGCCATCATAATGCAGGGATAGTGAACTTTGGTTCTGGATTCAAGACTAATAAGATGTGGCTCAAAACTCTCATCAGCTCCACCCCTATGGACAATGGTAAGGGACTATGGGATCTCTAGTCCAAAATCTAAGTTCCACCTCTCTGATAGGAGTCTCTCATTCTGGTTGTGGAAGGGAAATTATCTGTGAGGGTTATTCTTCGAAAACATTTTTGACCTATATTTGGTATAAGTATTACAACAAAACCATCCCTTCTTGTTAATTTAAAACATTTTATTTATATAAAAATGTAAGTGCTGGAAACATTTGATAAACAAGATTATATATGTTCACATTTGTATTTTCATACATGTTTTACAATGAAGGTTTCTCCTGGAAAAATGAAAACTTCCCTTTACATGTAATAATACAAAAAGTTAAAGAGTTGTCAGGAGCTACTGGGTGTTCTTTTTATTGTTGTCAACTCCTGGGAAATAGCAAACACAATAACTAGAGGTGTTGGGAACAACTCACCACATCGTAAGATGCTGTGAGGACTATTTCTTGCTTGGGCCACAGAGTGTCTGTGAAAACAATTCTCCTTCAGAGTGCAGGCTGTTGAAAAGACTGCATAGCATATATAAAACAGCATCAAACCACATTCACCCTCGTATGAATGTAAGAGTAACCTTGTCAAAGTAGGCCTGATGTCGGGACAGACTTTTATGTTATGAATAGTGAGATAACTATGCCAGAAGTGGCTGGGGCAGTCCGCCCACCTTGCAGAAGAGTGTGTGTGCTGTAGATCCCACCCTCCACTCTCTAACTGGATTCCTGTCTTCAAGTGTGGTGGAAAATCCTATCACACTGCCAGTAATAAAGTAATCTTTCCGCTTATTGCATGGAATGGAAGGGAGGAACCTAACCCCAGCAAAGTTCTGTGCCCCAATCAGGTCCCAGTCAACCCATCCCACTTACATCTGTGCCACATCCCAGCTATTTCTAAAGTACAGTGGTGCCTCACACAACGATGTTAATTGGTTCCAAAAAAAATCAACGTTGTGTGAAACATCGTTCTGTGAAACACCATTTCCCATAGGAATGCATTGAAAACCGGTTAATCCGTTCCAATTGGAACGGATTGCCATCGCTGAGTGAAAATCCCCATAAGAAACATCGCTGTGTGAAACAATGTTTCCTCCATTGGAATGTATTGAAGCCGACTCAATACATTTCAATGGCTTTGCGAAGTCCTTTTTCGCTCCTGTAAAAGTGTCTTACAATTTTTGGAAGCCGTTTTAAATGATTGCAATGGTTAGCCCACCTCCTGAAACCTATGCAAACTGATTTTGGTGTTGTTCTGACACTTCGTTAATTTATGGTAATTTTTTGTTTTCACCCCTCATTTAACTCCATGCATTTCAATGAGGGGGGAAAACAAAAAATTACCATAAATTAACGAAGTGTCAGAACAACACCAAAATCAGTTTGCATAGGTTTCAGGAGGTGGGCTAACCATTGCAACCATTTAAAACGGCTTCCAAACATTGTAAGACACTTTTACAGGAACGAAAAAGAGACATCATTGTGTGAAATCCCCCATAGGAAACATCACTGTGTGAGGCGGCAAATTTAACAGAAAAAGGCATCGTTGTGTGAATTCATCGTTGTATGAGGCACCCGTTGTGCGAGGCACCACTGTACTGTAAAGCACTGGTTCTTAACCTTTGTTACTCAGATATTTTTGGACTCCAACTCCCAGAAGCCTTCATCATCAGCTCTGCCAGCTGTGGTTTCTGGGAGTTGCAGTTCAAAAACACCTGAGTAACAAAATTTAAGAACCACTGCTGTAAAGCTCCCCGTTTTCCTTTCCTATGCAGCTTTTCCAAGGATGCTAATCTGCAGAACACCACTAGAGGTCAGTAGATCCTATCTCAGTTTAGCAATATTCCTTGCTAGACCGATGCATTTTGCCAGCAGCTCCACAGTTGAGTAAACAGCCCATTGCTATTGAACCTGGATTCCATTTTCTTGAGCCTTCCCCACGTAATGCTTAAATATTTCTAGGAAATTTAATATAAAGAAGACGCAAAGAGCAGTTTTTTAAAAAAATAAATATTTTCACCATCCTTTTTTTAAATTCCTATATGAATATATTTCTTCTCTCCTACTGGATACACAAAGCAAATGCTCTGGGACAGGTGGGCTACTTGACCTGCATGACGAAATATTTCCACATAAGACCTATCTTTTAGGTCATTTTTGGTGAGAGTAAGTTTAACGATGGCTGGCAACCAATTCATGGTCTCTTGTTAGAAAACAAGGAGGCAGCCTGGAATGCACTTGAAGCTATGTTTGCAGGCCTTCAGACATGAGACAAACCAAGGAGTCTGACAATCTAGCAAGAAAACTTGGACAGTCAAAACTCTGTCATTTAAAATTCCTTGTGAGGCCAGCTCCAAAGCTAAATATTTTGGAAGACTAAAAGAATGTAAGCCATGCCTGTGGGGATTGGTTGAAGAATGTGCTCACAGTGCCAGCAGTTCGGAAGGGCTGCAGCCAGGCTTGGCTACGATGCACATTTAAAGGCGGATCCTAAAGACAATGCCTGCCTATACAGACAGGGCAAAAACCTTTTCCACGGCATCAGAGATTTCCAGACACTCTGGAAGACATTCATAAGCTGCCCCTCCTTTTCTGCCAGGCATGAAATCAAGTGTGAATTTAAGGGCTCAAGAAACTAGACATGATGTTACTGATCCCAGAAAGGGAGGGAGAGCAGAAGTCTACTCTCTCACACTCTCTTTTTTCGTCAGAAGGCACAGCAAATATAAAACATCTGTTTCAACTACAGTTGGTCCTTCCTGATTTTGCAGAATGGGGTGAGAGGTTGGGAAACTTATTCTCTCTCTCTCTCTCTCTCTCTGTGTGTGTGTGTGTGTGTGTGTGTGTGCGTGCGCGCGCGCAGGCTGTTCACATCCAATGCATGTTCAAAGAAAGTGGGGAGGAATTAACAATCCTCTGTATAGGCGTGGATGAAAAACAACTACATGACTTTCCAACCTCAAAGAGGTTTGGAAGACGGAAAGGGGGAAAAATGTATCAGGCTAGCAACAGACCCCTAAACCTCCACATTCTAAAATGTTCAGGAACCAGCTGAACAGTCATTAAAGAGTTGTGCATTTTTTTTTAAAAAAAAGCTGTAATGAGTGGCTGAACTCTAGCCATTGTGACCTCTTCATCCCCCCAAAAAGTAGTGAAGCTATGTATAGCATTTTGCAGTGTACTGCTACAGTTTTCTGGTCTGCGTGCGTGTGCAGGCATGAATAAGGCACTTTTGTTGCTGGTAAGACAGTGGATATCCTGGCAATCCCTTACAGGATTTTCCTATTATTTCCTGGAAGATTCCTCACAGAGCTTTGCTGTGTGTATAGATATAGGTATATATATACATACGTAAAATTGCTCTTCCATAGTTATACATATACAGGCATCGATAAAGTGCAAACACAATTAGCATTTTGTACACTCTCATTTGCTTGGGTAGCTTTTATCCTATGCCACGATCAAAGAAGCTGTTGTCCTGACATGATACTTGGCCCACAGCTTCTTTGTAAAATGAATTTTCTTCTCTCCAGCACTGCTATGGAGAGGAAAAGGTGAGATCGCCGGTGCCACAGAGTGTACAGACAAGGCCTCTTCCTGTTCCCAGGCTGCACACCCAGAACACAAGAGCGGCCAGCCTCCTCTCTTTCCTGCAAGTCTCATGTCTTTGTTGGATGTTAGTTGGCTCCATTCACAGAGACCTCTTCAGGGATCTTCTCTTCAGAACTGCTTCTTCCCGAGAGTCTGTCCTGGTACTCCAAATCATTGAATCGCTCGGCTACACACTGCGCCGTGAGCCGGGCCTCAGGGTCGTGGTCCCAGCACTCGACCAGAGTCTCACACACTTTCTGGATGCCCTGTGAGACAGAGAGGAAATAATGAACACCCACTCAGAAACTGCAAATGTGAGTGGGTGAATGGGAGACTCCACAATACAGTCAGTTTTAAATCTTGGAAGTATATAAATGTACTCACTTCGACTGCCCTTAAAAAAAGGTTAGTAACACTATGGGAAGCAAAAGTATACTAAACTCGCAATAGGCATACTTGGGTGAAAACTGAAATTAAAGCCTGTCACATCTACTAGTATCCTACGTTTTCAGTCTGAGAAAGGAACATTTTTTAAAATCATAAGGAATGAACCAATGGGTTAGGATCAAGAGTCTTATCTTAATCCTACAAGGCATAGTTTTGGTAGTAAACATTGCTACAAAGGAGGGGTGGCCAAAGTTTGCCTCACTGGCTGCATGAGGACAATATGGGATCCAAACGTGTCCCCAGCAATCTGTTCCCCCAAAGTTTTGTTTTAAAAAACCAAACAATCCCTGGGCACCTTCTAGAGTGTGTGCAAGGCAATTCCACCTGTTTCAGGCGCTCTCTATGTTTTCTGGTGGGAACAGGCTCTTTTGAAGCAGGAAGTGTGCATTCCCTGAATCTCTGAAAGTAAACCCCACCTGATTCAAAGTTGCATCTCTGTTTTGCTAGCAAGAATCTCCTAAAACATGGAAAGTTAATTCTGGGAAGCAGAATGTCTAGATTCTGCTAGCTCCTTGTACCCTATTAAAAAGTGCAGGGGAAACTACCCTGAATGAAGTAATGGAGAGTGTTGCCTGGGTGGGGTTGCCCCAAATTGGAACTAGCATTTCTCTTGTGTACATGGAAGGTGGCTCCACTAATTATCAACAGTATAGGTATCCCCATAAGGCAAGGACAGAGAACTTACAGACCCCTAGTCTAGATAATGATGAACTATTTCTCCTAGCAACCTTGGCCTATGAGAAGTGACTATGGGAGTTCCATGTGCTTCCAGAGGGCCACAGAGTTTCCAGCCACACCATAATGGGACCTCTACAGTTGGTCCCCTATTTTATCAACCTTATTCTATCATTCCAGCCCCATTAAGACTGGATGTCCTGCAGGCCTTTATTTCACAGGCACTTGCATAGTTGCCCACCTCTGCATCAGGCTGATTAAGTTATTAAATCTCACCCTTAAAGTATGTACTCTTTAACGTCAACAGAAGAACCTACGTAGCAAATGCTTAGCTATTATAAGGAATAAATGCTCCTCCTTTTTGGTTACATAAAGTATTACTAAGTAGGGTTAAGGGGGAAAAAACTATTGGGTTTGTATATAAGCACCACACGGTTCTGTATTTGTTGCATAATTTACCTAATGGGCAACAATGACAGATGTCAATGGTACAATCATATTGAGAAGTGTACAAATAATATTCATTTTCCTTGCATTGAAATTACTGACATTAAAGTTAAATTAAATATTAGACTTTAACTTGAAAATCACTAGTGCAACAAATCTCATTAGGAAATGGAAGGGAGTGGAAGGAGTACTGTGTAAAATCCATTCTAGTATTATGAATAATGGGTACATTACCAAATACAAACATAAATAAAGAATATGAATACATTAAGGCTGATACAACAACAACTGCTGCAGATTTTGGTGTTTTGCTGGAGTACTAAGAGTCTCACAAAAGGTAGCTAACAAACACCAGTGACTGATACTGGACCAGTAACTAGAAATTTTGGCAGCAGGAATAATGATGCCTTCTCAGTTAAGCTTGGGTCACCTGAGCCTGGTATACAAGGGGAGAGGATAGAAGAATGGGCAGGAATGCCAATGTGGGCTGTGACAGCCATACCAATTTTGCACTGAAGTTGTATCTTTTGTGTTTCCTTCCACCTGGGAAAGAGCATTTGGAGGCAGTCTATGCACTCAGTGTGGTGGGCTCAGGTTCTTTCAGGAGCAATATTTGGTGCCCCCTAAATTTTGGCATCCTTGGTCAAAGCTCCAGTTGCCTCACCCTAGCTAAGTCTCTGGTTGATTTCCAGTGCACCATTCTCTAACATTTGACATGGCCACTCCCTAAACTGATCAGGCAGTAGCCTTAAGTACCTTGGGGTTATGCTATGCAAGGTGAGTACAATCAAACATACCTATCAGTGCAAATGCAGTTGTAGCATCTATCAAGAAATAGGTTATTGAGAAAATGCAGATGGTACAAGGAAATATAAAACTGCAAATAGAACTGGGGAATGATATTTTATATAGAGTACAACTCCCAGAATTCCTCAACCAGCCTCAACCATGCTGGCTAGGGGTTTCTGGGAGTTTTGGATGACTGTACCGTGTGGTCCAAAAAAACAACTTTGGCTTCCAAATAATCCTGCTAAAGTTCTGTGGGACTGGTTCTCTCAACAGCTTGGCAATATAAGCTGATGCTTTTACCTGATGGTTAAGCCATGAGTTAGGAATTTCTGGTCGTCCTCTGTCCCTTAAAACATTGTCTTTCATACTTTCAACACATGGATGTTCTCGCACTTTAGAACCAAAGGGCGGCTCATATTCTTTCACCTCTGCCAAGATAAGAAACAAACACAAGATCCTTGGTTAGGTTTGCAGGCCCAGATTACATGGAGATGCCTTTGTTCTCCATGACAGATACAGAATCTACTGACTGCTCATGGACTTTATCATCTGACCAAAGAAAAAGCATAATATTCCAGCTTTCCTTTTCTGGATTTATTTCTTCAGTGTCTAAGATTGATTTATCTACCTTAAAATGAGATGCACTGACAAATAACACAGAATGCACTTCACCCAATGAGATGCACTTCTCCCAATTCATGTCTGTTAGTGGAATTTTGCATTTTTAGACACATGATTTCACACAAAATGGTGTTTGGTCTAACCAAAATGTACTGGATTGGTAAGAAGCCAAGATATGAGTCTGGCTTCAAACCCTCAAAGCATTCTCCAAGTAAATAGGACCCTGAACATGGAGTGCCTTGCAAGTCTCTACTCCACCCCATCACTTTAGTAGTCTTCTCCAATTGTGTCAATAGCATTCATAGTGTTTCGTAATGTTACCTCAAAGAAAAGTCCTATTCTTATATTTTTTTATTTAGAAGGAATGATAACAACTTGGACATTGAAAAAGAAACATACAACAAAGCTAACTGATAGAAATTGATTTTTTCCAGGAACCATATTTTTTGTAGTTAGCATCCAGACAACCTGTAGAGCTTGATAAGAGAGGGGACAGTATCCTGGTCAATATTTATAAGTAAATAGAGTTCTAGCTATGGAAGCTGCCAGATTAATCTGACAAGATGCCAACTCTTCCTCACCAGGCACATGTCCAGCACTTTGTCAGATAGCAGCAGCAGCAGCTTCTGCAGTTAAGAGTTTTGTGCACATGAATATTGGCAACTGTTTTTATTTATTTTTTGTGCTCTAGATCATTCCACACAGAGCAGTCAACAAGCATCAAGTTCATCTTTGTACTCCATCACCTTGATATCCACAGCAACTGTTCAGCTCATCTATCCATAAGGACATGCCTTCTATCTGAAGGATATACAGCTAATTATGTCATGTTTAATACAATACTCTTAAAACTGTAGAGCTGAAAGGGATTGTATGGATCATCAGGGCCAGCCCTTGTCAAGGAGGCACAGTGAGGAACTGGATTTCCAACCTTTGGCTCTACAGCCAGATATATAAACAACACTGGCTTTATTTGTTGGACTGGAACTTGGAAGACACAAATTCAAGTCTCAACAAATTAAAAAAAAAACCTCACATTCGGGTAGCAATTTTCTCTCAAACTGACTTACCTCACAAGGTTATTAGGAGGATAAAGTGGGCAGGAAGATAGCCATATCTGCTGCCTGGAGCTCACTAAAGGAAAGGTGCAGTAAACTAACTAACTGAACTCTAAAATAGAACAAGCCAAGACAGAACCCTCACTGGACAAATTAAAGCCCCATCCTTAAATTACTGAACTCCAAGCAAAGAAGTCTTCAGAGAAATGATGAACCAGAGGTTTTGGAGATCCTCCTGAAAGGTTGTTCAACTCCAAAACAGCCATCAAAACTAAATGGAGACTAATGGAACACAAACATGTTTACACACACTTGAGTTTTAATGTTGGTTTTCACCCATATTGCCTTGTTCACAGGGCAAAATGGCATGGGAATTTTTAACTGTATTAAAAATTACATAGAAGAATTTTACCTACTCCACTCAGCAGAAGGGGAGCAATTAGAGTAGATTTCCATATAACACAGAAATCATCCTGCTCTCTTTGAAAGCATATGCAAAATTGACTCAGACCCTAATGAATCACTGGGACTGTAAGAGATATAAGTAATTGGCCTTTTCTGATGTTTTTTTTTTTTTTAAGGAAAGAACTGATGGGAACTGGGAATGCAGGAAAAGAAAAAGATGAAAGGTAGTCTCAGGAATGCAGCTGAACCATCAAGACAATGGAGGCTGCAATCCTGAAGTAATTTATATTGACAAAGTCATCCTAAAGCTCAAATGTGCATTTTTTGGCTGATGTTTCTTAGAAACATGTGAGACTACCTTATTTGAAGGTCCAAATCCAACTTACTTGCAGTGGTGCCTAGATTCTCTGTCTCTCTCTCTCATTCACTCATACACACACACACACACACACACAGAGAGAGAGAGAGAGAGAGACTACTGCAGTTGCCTCTGACACAGGGTGAGATCAGATGGTGCAACTGCAAACCAGCTCATTCCTGATCCATTCCTACCTGCACCTTTTTGGTTCCCTGGCAGGGGCTACTGCTTTTTTAGTGTTGGTAGGATCACTCTATTTTGGTTCTGCCGTGTGTGATTGCCAGGATCAAACTGAAGTGGATGGCTTAGCTGTCACCTGGTTTAGGCTGCTTCTGGATCTAACCAGTAGAGGCAGGGATCATGCCAGATGACATACCACAACTGGGACAATTTGGCCATCTAGCTGCACACACAGAAAACTTGCTCCAGAGACTTTACCAGGCCTCTACAGTATGTTATTAAGGTCTGTAGGGTTTGTGGGAGCAAAGTCTGCTCCTAGACTTTGGAAGTCCTTCCTACAGGAGGCCAGACTGGCCCCATCTTTGCGGTCCTTCCGTAAGCAAAGACTTTTCTCTTTTGCAAGCTTTCCCTTAATAACAGGATGCCTGCCTGAAATGGAGTTTTTTAATGGATGTTTATGCCTTACTAGTCTGAATGTGATTTTGGTGTTGCTTTTATTTACTATGTTTTGTGATATTTGTTTGATCATTTTTAGTATTTGTATACTTACTCTTTTAAGCTTTAAATATTGCCTTTTAATGATGTAAGCTGCCTTGGGTTCTTAAGGAGAAAGGTGAGGTAAAATATTTTAAATAAAATAAATAATGATAGATACAGGTGGACATGTGCTTGCAGAGAAGCTGCTGCCACAGCTGTAAGGACACTGAAATATGTCAGCCCCTCCATCCGTTTTGCTCACTAGTGTTTACACTGGCTGGCAGCAGCCCTCTGGATTTCAAGACAAGGGTCATCTTCTAGTCTTACCTGGGAGTCCTGGGGTCTGAAGCTGGGATATTATGAGCTAGAAACCTTCCTCAGCTACAAATGAATCTCAAACAAACATATAAATGTCTGGTTCCTGTCTTATTAAGGCACAGGTCTGCTGGTGTCCTGCATCCCAAGCAATAAATCAAAATTAGCCTTCGATAATTCATTAAAATCTATAGTGTTTGAATAACACTAGAAAAATTAACAGTAGCATTAATATAGAATTGCCTGAAGAATACAGAAAACAGGCTGCTCAAATTAGAAACCTTTTCTTTACTGTGTTGTTATTAGTGTTTTCTTTCTATGTTTAAATCCTTCTGGTTGACGAAAAGAGGTTCTATCCTACTATGATTTCTGTCAGAACTGGTGTTTATTGATGTTAAATGTGCCTTTATGAATTCTATGCATTTGCAGAATGATTGCATATGCTTGTGGTCAGGTTCTGTTGTAATGGACACCATACAATCACCAAACACATGATTTGCTGCTGAGCACTGATAAGTCCACGTATCAGGCAGCCTGGGTGAGGTAATTCCTCATCATCTATTTTTGACATGAAAGGATGTGTGACAAAACTAGAACACTGACACAAATTATATTTTCTGGGGACAGTCTAAGGAAACAAATGTGACTAGAAGAACACCAAAAATGGCAATTTGAGAAGTACTGTACAAAGTTTTCTTCTCATGGGAATGGGGAGGAAGGTAATAACCATATCTTTAAAAAATAAAAATAAAAAATCTGAAAACCTGCACACAGTCATTACTTCTACATAACTCTTATTTAGAATCAGTACAGTGCTCTGTATATGTAACCAAGGATAGGTTAACAGTTTATATGCTTAATTTTATTTTTGTGAAAAGCAGTTCATTGGGGAGGCAGTAGCACCACACCTTGAACATAATTACTGTATATGGGGAAAAACATGATTATGCCTCTCCTCACTGCTACAAATTTTAATTACTGTATGTATTGGCTCCTCCCATAATTATTTCCATGCAAACTTTGGTTAAGGGCCCTCCTAACCCCCCTGGCCTTTTTTTAAAAAAGGACATGTATCTCAAGGTGGAGAGTGAGAAAAATATTAGTTTCATCGTTTCCATTGAATTTGACCCAATGTCCACTGCCGCAATAAGAAGCTAGGTGTGGGTTTATAGCCAAACATCACAAGCTTTTGAACACCTGGAAAATGAAGTGTAGAAGCATTCTCCTTCAGAAATATTGAGCCTTTTCTCCTCTCTGCTCCCTAAAATAACAACGCATTTTTTGCTTCCACTGTAGACCATTTCTTTCTGTACTGTTATATTTAAACCAAAGACATTGTTTTAGTTGAGCTTGCAAAATCTTTCAAGTGGTGACATTCGGCTGAAGGAACAGAGGCCATTTTGAAAGGTATTTTCCAAATTACTCCCTGGTAACCTCGCTGGTTCTGACTGATGTCATGTACTGGCAACAAAGGGCTTGAAAATCAGCAGCTTTTAGAGGGCTGTCAGATCACTTAACGCTCTCTGTGCTTTCCTTTCTCACAGTACCCATGCTGAGCACAAAGGCAAAATGCTTGGGTGGAAATTATATTTCTCAGAAAGTGTAACATCTGGTACACAGCTGTTGTGCCGACTGAAATACCAAGCTAGCAGGGCAATGGAGCAGCTTAAGCTTTCCCAAAAGCAGCATTGCTGACTTTCTAAATATGACTTCTAAATTATACTCCAGTGAAACATTAGGCAAACGGTACTCTCCTTCTCATATACAAGCTTCACAGACTTTAGCTCATCAAGTGAGAGTCGGTTCTTTTTTCTCAGGCCAAAACTTCACCTGCAACTACAGTACTATTTACAGCTTTAGTGTATGGATCCAACTCTCTTTCTCTCTTTTCTGTTTCAAACAAATCTTGTCTGCAAATGATTAAGATACTATGAAGACTGCATCCAGGAAATTTTCACACCTATTCTGCTCCATAAGACGTATAGAAACACCTGCACACTTCACTATTTTATTG